TTGGGGATAATTTTTTTATGCAGCAATAAAAAACTAACGTATCCTAGAACCTTACAGATCCTTCTGGAGTGTAGTTCTATAGTTCAAATAAAAGAGTGTATATTGCTCATACTTCACATTCTCCTTTGCCTATAATATTTCAAAATGCTTCCTTGAGAAGGGAACCAGTGAGAGGGAAGCGGGGAACAGGGAGGGGCAATGGGGGAGGGAAACAGTGAGATGAAGTACAATAACACGTTTGTATGAAAATGTCACAAGTAAACTTATTGCTTTGTATAATAACCTTACATTTTTATTTTATAAAAGAACAAAAAGATAGCCAGGCATGGTGGCACACACCTTTAGTCCCAGCACTTGGGAGGCAGAGGCAGGTGGATCTCTGTTCAAGGCCAGCCTGGTCTACAAAGTGAGTTCCAGGCCAGCTGCGGCTACAGGGAGACCCTGTCTCAAAAAGACCAAAAAAGAACAAAAAATAATGCTTCCCTGAGCAGCCTGTATTCAATACAGCAAAAACAATTTAGAAAACTAAATAACATTCCTGAACAGAGAGATTTTTCAAGTGATTGCTTACCATTTTGATGGTTTATATGTTTTAATAAAATGAGTGAGTCCTCAAGGTATGTATCACTTTCCATGCAGTTCCAGAAGAACTCTTGGGCCTTAAAGGACTATCGGGAGCTATGCAGAGGTTGACATTATGTGCAATGTGCTATGTTAAGACTAGTTTCTTTCTTTAAAAAAATTATTATTGTTTATGTGTATCTGTGCCTGCATATATGTATGCACATGTGCCTACAGAGGTTAGAAGAGGAACTGGAGTTACAGGAGATTGTGGGCCACCCTATGTGGGGACTGGGAATGGATCCCTGGTTCTGCAAGAGCTGCAAGCACTCCTAACTGCTGAGGTATCTCTCCAGTGCCAAGAGCACTTTCTAAGATATAGATGGAGCTTGTACCAGCTATTCATTCTTAAGCTCCACATCTGCCAGAGGAGGAGGACAAGGAAGAAGAGAAGGAGGAGGAAGAGGAGGAGGAGGGGAGGGAGAGGAGGAGGAGGAGGAGGAAGAAGAGGAGGAGAAGGAAGAGAAGAGGAGGAAGATAGGAAGAAGAGGAAGAGGAGGAGGAAGGAGAGGAGGAGGAGGAGGAAGAGGAGGAGGAGGGGAGGGAGAGGAGGAGGAGGAGGCGGAAGAAGAGGAGGAGAAGGAAGAGAAGAGGAGGAAGATAGGAAGAAGAGGAAGAGGAGGAGGAAGGAGAGGAGGAGGAGGAGGAAGAGGAGGAGGAGATGACAGCACTGCTCACCTGGCTCCTCTTCCCAGAACATCTACAGTCAGAAGCAGAGATGGATCTGACTTTTACCTTAGTGCTCAGATTCCAGTCTGTGAGATCATCCTGTCTACTAGAGGCAGCTGAATCCAGAAAGAAGTGGTTTTAGCAACATCCTCAAGTGTCCAGACCCTCAAAACAGACCTTTATCTATACTTACTATTTTGCTATGGCATCTTTTCTGCTTATTTAACTCATGAAGCCACTTCAGGAAGAAGGTGGAATGGACCTGCCCAAAGAGACCCACCCCTGCTGTCACACCTCTTGGCATGGTTTCTTCTGTGCAGCCTCTGCAGAATGTATATGCTGCTCTGATTCAGTTAGTATGATATTACCATTTTCTACGATGTTTCTTGGACCTTCACCTCTTTTCTATGCAGTTACCACATCTCTTTGTGAACTAAGCCAAATATGAATATTATCCCAATACACTTAACTATTTGAGCTAAATCCTGATATTTATATTAGTTTAGTTTATATTAGTTTGGGCCTATTTAGAAATGAGCATTTGCTAAGAAACATTCACAGGTGCCTGAAAAACAAATATAAATCTTCGAATGGAGTGATGGTACATCCATTTTCTGTCTTGCACAGTGCTGTTTATTCATTAGGTTTCTTTTTAAAATATTTTATTATTTTTATTTTATGTATATGAGTGTGTTGCCTGCATGTATGTGGTGCACCCATGTCATGCAATGCCATGGAGGTCAGAAGAGGGCTTCGGATTCCCCTGGAACTGGAGTTAAGGACAGTTTTTAGCTGCCTTGTGGGTGCTGGAAATTGAACCTGGATCCTCTGCAAGAGCAGTCAGTGCTCTTCACCGCTGAGCCATCTCTCCAGCCCCTCATTAGGTTCCTTTAAATGCTCCATCATCAATAGAATTGAACAAGCATGAGTTGCTGAATACCAGCTAGCCCAGGTGGCAAATGGCTGGCCTAAAGAATATAGAAAATCCTGGTTTTCCATTGATTTTTCACAGTTTAAACTTTCAGTACTCCTACAAATAAAGTTCCCACTGTATCTGTGATCAGAGCTGTGAGAGAAGCCATGACTAAAACTGTAGTCCTGGAGAAACTGAGGTTGAACATTGTGCTGATGCATGGCTCCCCAAACAGGCTCCTGGTGGACATGCCTCCCAGTGAGCTCTGAAGACATCTGTTGTCCTCAGTTCTGGGCTTGGCAAATGATGCAGTGTAGCCTGGTCCTGGCCAGGACTTTAGGGTTTTGAGAACAGTGTCTTTTCTCCAAAGGGGGAAACAGACTCTGGTTTTCTGATTCTCTCTGAATGCAAATATTTTCACCAAATCTGGCTTCATCTCTTACCTTATAAAATAGACTCATAGCACAAAATAAGTTGACTCAAGGTACTAGTCATGTACATTGATATTTCCATAAACAGAAAGGTAAGGGTGTATTTAGCAGGAAGAAGGGACATGTTTCATATTTGGATGATTTCTTACCAGTAAAAACAGGCCCATATTTTAAAATCATTTCCAAGTAACAGAATAGCATTGTTTGGAGGAATGGAAAAAGAATTCCTCTGACAAGGAAAATCAGTTTAATTTTAAGCTTCCAAAGGATTGGATTTAATTATAGATGGCAGCAAAGAGCAGAGAAGGGATTCTTGAAAGCTTCTGGGTGGGGGGACGGACTAAGGTAAGATTTTCTTAAAGGAGAGTATAGTCAGGTAATTTTGTAAAAACAGGAGTAATAAAAAAGGAAAGAAGCTAGGGCTTGGTAGCAGAGCAAGTGCTCAGTACCTCAGTGTGTGCCAGGTTTGATCCCCAGCAGGAGGAGGAGGAGGGGGAGGAAAAGGAAAGAGGGAGAGGAAGAAGAGAACACTACAAAACCTTTTGGCAGTGATGACATTCAGGACACACTACCTCAAAACGTGATGTCTTGCACGAGCAAACAGCAGAGACAGGAAGGTCACTGTGACCTTGGCCCACCCTTCTCTGCTGAGGCAGATGACAAAATTTGGAGCAGGATTTTCACATCTTCCCTGTCTAGGCCCTAAGACCCTTATGTGAAAGATACCTACTTTCTCTATACCCAGAGAAAAAGAAGCATCACTATCTCTAAGGACTCAGAATAATCTGAGCCCTCAGGCCTTGCTAGATTCTTGCAGGTTGCTGTCATTAGGCTACACCCTCCTGTTCAATCATCTCTCGCCACAACTATCCACTTTCTCAAACCTGGTCTAAAAATATACAAGTGCAACCATTTCTTAGAACTTCATTTCCATATGAAGGAAGGTTCCTGTGTCATAGAAAACTGACATAAAATAAACATGTCTGCTTTTCTCTTGTCAGTCTTTTGTTATAAGGACCTTAGCCATAAACCCAGCAATAGGCTAGGAAAAGATACTTTACCTCTTCTCCAATGGTAATCTTTGACTCTATCCAGAAACTTTCATCTGAAAGTTTAGAAATTTGCTAAAATGAAGTCATTTAAAAAAAAAAACAAAAAAACATGCTATGATGGTTGCATCAAGCAAACATGCCCACTTTGTTCCTCCAGCAAGGCATGGGGCCTTCCAGGCAGATCAGTGTCGTGCATGGATCACCTGCTAGTAACGTACTTCAAATAGGACTTTTCTTTTTCATTTTTAAAAATATTTTACTTATTATTTTTATTTTATGTGTATGAGTTTATTGCTTATATACATTTAAGTGTACCCATTGTGCAATGCTTGTGGAGGTCAGAACAGAGTGTCGAATTCCCCTGGAACTGGATGGTTGATGGTTGTTAGCCGACATGTGGGTGCTGAGTGAGAATCAATCCTGAGTCCTCAGCAAGAGAAGTCAGGCCTCTTAACCACTGAGCCATCTCTCCAGTCCCCAGATAGGACTTTTCAAAACTGAGTCAAAATATGTATCATGAAGGAAGAGCTGGAGAGATGGCTCAGTGGTTAAGAGCATTATCTGCTCTTGCAGAGGATCCTGGTTCGGTTCCATGACAGCTAACAGTCTTTAACTCCAGTTTCAGAGGATTCAGTGCCCTCTTCTGGCCTCCATGGGCATTGCACAACATGGGTGCATTTAGATACATGTAGGCAAAACACTCATACACATAAAATAAAAATAATTTAAAAATATGTACCATGGGATTTAATGATTCTAGTAGTAATTCTAACATCCACAGTTATGACCCTCACCAGAAGGCTATCTAAATCCCACCTTTCTAACAGGATGAGTTATTTTGATTTTCCATGCAAAAGATACCAAGTAGTTATTGAATATGAATTAGAAAACTAACATTAAAACAAAAATACAAAAGTAAGTAAAAGACAAGTTAATAAGTATAAATTGTGTGTCTTTTATTACCTACTATGTTATTATTGATGTTTCAAAAAATTTACTAGTTAAAAAACAGACTTCTGGGGCTGGAGAGATGGCTCAGTGGTTAAGAGCACTGGCTGCTCTTGCAGAAGACCCAAGTTCGAGTCCTAGCACCCACATGATGACTAACAATTGTCCATAACTCCAGTTTCAGGAGATCTGACACTCTCTTCTGCATGACACGAGTGCACCTACCTACATGCAGGCAATACTCTTACCCATAAAATAAAAATAATAAATGAAGTATTTTTTTAAAAAAGGCTTGTCAATGGATCAATTCTACTATTAAATCAAATGAAAGCTAAAAATGCTCTGTTTTCTTCTTTTGTTTTGTAGGTATTATTACTTGGCATTCAGAGCACATCAAACACCGCCTTTAAGCAAGGAGAGCTGTGTCGCTATCTTGGAAAAGTCCAGATTAGATCACTGGGTACTGGGAAAAACAAAGGTAGCTCTTTCTTTATTGTTCAGATTGTCACCTGTGATGCTTTTCTCTGTGCCTCTGTCTCTTGTCATTAAAAACCAGCAAAAATGACTTTGTTCCTAGCATAGCATGGCAGGCAAGACCCCAACTGAAAAATGATCTTTGTTGGTCTTGAATCAGGAGCCTGGGACCCTATGGGCCAGAGGAGGGTGGTTTGCACTCCATTCTGTGCGCAGTTCTACAGTCTTTTAGCATTTCTAGAATGCGATCTTTGAGTTTGGTTTAAAATGTCCCCTTTCAATGCTTCATGTTCTATGCACATGCTAACATACAAATCATATTAATGGCAGTGATGAGCTTCCTGTAGGGTTTGGTTCGTTTTCTTGTTAGACTTGTGCTGTTTATCGCACACTCTCATTCTAGTTTAGTTATGTGTAGCTTTTCATTTGGGGAAACATCCCATCCTTGCTGGAGCCCAGGTTTTTATGGTCCATTCTGAATTGCCCGGCAAAGCTAGCTCCAGCCTGCACGTGGATTGCAGCACCCATGTACTTCCATGGAAATTAGATCATTGAGGGCCATGTGGGTCCCTCAGCCTCCAGACCCTGCGTTCACCCCACGTTCACCCTGTTGCTTTGCACCTCCACCAGAGACTATGAGGAGCAATGTGGGAGGAGAAAAAAGAACCCCCAGCTAATGGGAGGCAGGCCTACAGACCAGTGTCTGGGATGGTCTCTGTCCTCTGACCACATTTTAGAAGGGAACTGTATTTGCCGCCCAAGAAATCAGTAATATATGCACAAGGCAAATCACTGTAAACTTTACTCAGATAATGGCTTTGGTAGTTACATTAAGAATAGGCTGGAGTGGAGTGATTTTTCTGTTGGAAGCCCATGTGTAGTGCTAAAACAATGCTTCCTTTCAGGTTTTTCTCAAATATTACCATGTGGAGCAATTAAATTTGCTCCTGCGAGAAGTCATAGGCAGAGTGGTCATGCTGCAGGCATATACCAAGGGCTGGCTCGGAGCCAGGAGATACAAAAGAGCCAGAGAGAAGAGGGAGAAGAGTGCTGTTGCCATCCAGGCAGGTAAATGGGGCAGTTCAGGGCAACATGGCTCCTTGGTATTTCAGTAAGTAACGGGGGCTACTCACCTGGGCCTTTCCTTTTCTCCTCTCCCCCGCCCTCCCCTCCTCTTTCCTGCTTCCTTATTTCACCAAGCACTTTTCAAGTGCTTCCACAAGCCAAGCCTCATACTAGGTGCTTGGGAGGTACTCAAAGAAGTTGGCTATGGTCCTTGACCCCACAGAGAAACAAACATACAAGCCATTACAACACACCAGGGTAAGTGGCAAGATAGAAACCATGTGAGCAGACCAGTGATGGAAAACCCCATCACACCACATATGTCCTGTCTCCTGGAATGACGTCCACTAACACCATCCTGGCAGGGTTTTGTAGCTCAGCTGGGACTTATAAACAGGGAACAAATCCGTATTTTTTTTCCTCTACACTCAGCCTTGCTGGTGCCTCTGTCCATGTTCACGTGTCATGTGTGCTGTGCACAGTACCTGGCTCTCATGCCCCGGATGAGAGATTATAAAGCACCTCACCTTGAATTTGGCGGGTGAACTTCTTGGCACTCTCACAATGTGAAACCATTAATGTGCTGTAGCTTACTTTGGAACTCATGAGCTCACCCAGAGACTTGGGGATGCTCAGGCCAAGGTGGGGACATGGAAGACAGTTGCTCGTCGGAGGATGGGAGCATGACGCACCTCTATCTGAAGCATGCCTATCTCCTGCCCTTCTTTCTGCTCTCTCTATTCTTCGCCTTCTTCCTAGCTGTCTCTTTCCATTGAAGATGTTTCCCTTCCCTCAACAAACACTAGTTAGTTGTGTGCCTCTTTTTGTCCTGTGACTACCCCTCCCACCTTTATCTTCATCTACAACTTTCATAATTATGTATTTCTCCTGAGGGTAAAAAGATTAAAAGATGAAACTGTAATGTTCCTTCCAAGCTCTGTTCCTCAGCTTAAGCCTCAGTGATAAAGGCAGGGTTTCCTCTAATCCAGATGACAGGGAGCTATCTCACGTGGGGTCAGGAGCTCCCATTCTTCCTAAGTAGACTCCAGAGTTCTGGTAAATCCCTTTTTAAATAAAAAGGACTCCTCAGAAGCATTTTGGAAGCTGAGCCTGGTTCAGAAAGCCCCTCCACCACCATGGCTCATCTCTGCTTATTTTGCTCAGGGAGAGGACAGGAGGGGGCAGGAGAGAAATAGATTGGAGGTGGAACAGCTTATATCAATTCTGCGGCACGTTCTTAAATTAATATCATTCCCAGCACATGGTTTTATATTTTTAGCCTGGAGAGGATATGATGCTCGGAGGAAATTTAAGAAAATAAGCCACAGAAGGAAGGAGTCTGCTGTTCATATTCAAGCAGGTAATTAAAACATCATTTTTGCCATGTCCACTGCCAATGTTCTGTGATCCCATTCAAATGATGCACTGAGGTGCGTCCAGAGTTCTGGTGGTGCTGGGAGCTCATTTATTCTGGCAACCCTGTTTGAGTCATGAGGCAATAGTGCACATTGACCAGGGGCCATGCTTGGCTAAGGAGGCTCTCAGGAGGAACTCTCATATGTCTACTAGAATAGAGAAGAAAATTGAGGCACAGAGAAATGGAGTGACTTGCCCATGGTCACACAGCTTGCCAGTGGCAGAACTGGCCTCTAAAACACCAGAAGCTTGGATGGAGTCTATTTGACATGCTGCTAGTGGACACGTCTCTTTCCTTCTTGGAATCCCAAGTCCCTTGTCATTGGACCAACAGCACTAGTTGAACAGGTGTCTGATTATTTTCAAGGCTTGTCTGACTCAGCATCATAGAGGAGGGGTGACTCAGGGACATTCCCAAATCTGTGTCTATGTGTGGCTAGTGTGATCTTTAGGGCCCATGGGAAGCACACAGTGGCTCTTGGGGCTCAGCTCACCCTTGGCAGTCTGAGAGTTTTGAGCTCTGATTGCTCATCATCATCAGCCCCCTCCCCGGCTCTGAGTTGCTGGGCTCTCTACAAATGGTATGTCCACTGTGGCTGCCAAGCCAGGTTCCCTTTCTTTCTGCATATTCCTTCCTAATTGAGGCTCTGGAAGAAACAGGACATTCAGCAAGCCAAGAGTTCCAAGAGAGCAAGAAATTGGAGACAGAGTGAGAGGGTGGAAGCCAGTGGACTCTGTGACAGGGAGATATAGTGTGTCAGAGGCCCAACTTGAGGCAAATTCTTCAGTAAGACTGCTGCGACTCATCAGACCAGAACCTGGCTCTAGGGGTCCTTCTTAGAACTATTAAGCCATGGTGGAGGCCCAACATCTTCACAAAGAACTAAAACATTTAGGAAGAAGGGGTACTATTTAAACTCTAATGTGTCACCCTTAGCACCATATCCTAATAATTTCTAACCTTAACCACTTCAAAGCCTCAGGAAGAGAAAAGAATTCTTATTGAAGCTTAAGGAACATAATTCAAAGTGGGTCTTGTGATCCCTATCTACTCCCGAGATCCTCAACATACACACATATGCACACATAATGCACTTATATAATACACACACACACACACACCAGAGTCTTCCCTCTAAAGAGGATAGCAGGCTGATTTTGGATTTTGTAATTTGGCCCCAAGCCCAACATATGTTTTAAAATAAAAACTTTGAGCTTGTATATTGTTGATCCACCGAGTCCACTATATAAAAAGCATGAATCTGGTTTTCTTTGTCTGAAAATCATCTTTGACCTGCTTTGCCCTTTGTTGCTTCCAAAAGAACACAGCTTCAAAGCAGAAACAGTCCTGCTTCATCATCAACTTAGGACAGTGATGGGTAGGTGCACTTCATTCATGAAGCACATGTGGGTGGGGATCATGGAAGGGTAATTTTGCCTAACAGAACTGGAGAGAACACATTTCCTTAAAATATCTCTCTTTTAGGGGACTGGAGAGATGACTTAGCTGTTAAGAGCACTGGTTGCTCTTACAGAGAACCTAGGTTCGGTTGTCGGTACCCACATGCCTGCTAACAACTGTCCTTAACTCCGATGTCAGGGGATTTGACACCCTCTCCTGCCCTCCTCCATGTCCCTGGTGTACTTACATGTACACAAAACACTCCCAACACATAAAGTTTTTTTAAATTCTTTTTAAAAAGTAGCTCCCTTTTCTCTTTAGCTTTGTGAGTGCTCGCCTTCACCTCGCAGCCTCTGCTCTCACTAACCAAGCAGCATCAGAATGAATAGTAGCCGACTGTAGGGGCTTAGGCAGGCGCGATGGTGGAGCCCCAGTGCCCTCCATGTCCTGTGTGGCAGCAAGCACAAAAGCAGAGTCATCTCTGGCTTCAGCCAGCAGGAAGGAACTGGTATGCCCTTAGGGCTGGGATTGAGGCTAAAGTTGTGATTTTCCCATGCAAGCTTCCTTCCTGCCAGGAACACACCCCAGAGACAACTGTCCACTCACTTCAAAAACCTGCAGAAAGATGCACAGGGAGGATAACTCAGCGCAGCCATTTCTGGGGTTAATTTCTGATTATTTTTTCAACAAATTATTTGAAATTTAGATTTTGTAGAATGCCTATTTGTATTTCTGGTTTTGACCTAGCGCCTTCTTTTAACAACATTGCTGAGATACGTTATATATTTTTAAAAGAGCAGCCCTTGAAATCTAGGAAGCATTTGGCCTACATGTTGCTGCAGAGCAGCGCGTAGTGAAATTTGTTTTCCTTTCATCTCCTTCCCAATAAAAGCAGCCGAGCTTGGCTTCTCCCCTCAGCTTCCTCAGAACTTCCTCTCAGAATTCCCGATCTATTACAGCACATTCACATCCCAGCAACTAGCTGCCTTTTCATGCTGTCAACCTTTTTCATCTGAAATGTAAATTAATTCTTGCTGGTATGCCTTCACAGAGATCAAAGTCGGCATTAACCTTCACTGCTTTCTGCTCCTGAGGCTGGGACTGGCCACTGGTAGGAGCCACTGGCCCTGTGATCCAGCCCTCCTCCAGGCAGCCCTCAACAAGGAGCCACCCTTTCAAAGGCTCTGTGTCCTTTTGTAAAGGATCTGTGTGGTACTTTAAACCAGGCCCAGAATGATCTGCCCAGCTAATTCCTGAGAGATAAGCCTGCTAGGTTTATTGTGGGCTCTTCCCTGGGGCTGGGCTAAGTGGCTAGTGTGCTTGGTAAGATTCAGGGAGAGACAGGACACCATACTGAAAGCTTCTCTCTCACCCTGTGGGTCATTTCTTGCCTGTCAGTCTTTGAGGTAGGCACATTTGCATTTTCAAAATAAACAGATGCCTTTCAAATACATGAGCTGGTGGTCTAGAGATCTCTGTGGACCCAAAGGGTACACCAGCCAGCGATCAAATGTTGGAGAGAAAACACTCTAGGTACATGAGGATACATTTCCTATGTGGGCATCTCTGTGCAGGCAATAAAGAGCCTTTATGAGCTGTGGGAGGAGAGAGGGAGGGTGGGCTCTGGAGCCAACACATTCTTTGCCAGTTTCCTTTTCGGACTGGAGAAACAACTTTGAATGTCAGTCACTTTGGTGAGGAGTAGCATGTTTTCTTGTTTTTATTATTAATTCTGATAATGAGCTTTCTGTAAGAAAACACGTTCCTTCAAATACCAAAGAATTAAAAATATGCCCTTTTAAACGTTTTTTGAGAATTTCATGCATGAGTATTGTCTTTACATTATTTCCATCCCTCCCAGTCCCCCTCCAACTCCTCTCATGTCCCCCACTCCCTCTCAATTTCTTGTCCTCTTCTTTGATTACTATTGTTACATAGCCACATATATGCCCTTTCTAAATCAGGAAACTAAGACTGTACATATTAATGCTCAGATAAACATATTCCAAGTAAAAAAATGTTATTTTTATTCCAATAAAAATCTATTGTTTTTAGATTAGATGTCAAGTTTCAGAAGCTGAATCAAACTTCATTTATTCCACTAAAAAATATGCATATGCTCCTCAGTGGCTACTATCAAAATAAAGAACCTACAGGAAAATTTTCAAACATCTACAATGTCTGTTTTATTCTTTAGTTTTAAGTTGCCCCTCTAATCCAAGATCTGTTTTTAAAAACAAAGTGTTAGGCCTCCCTGTCTGGGGATGAAATGCTCTCTGGAAGATGACAGTGAATCCTTAGGTGAGAGAACAGAATTTTCAAGTATTTTCCAGGGGGAGTTGACTTGTCTGAACTCCCTACCTCTCTCTCTCTCTCTCTCTCTCTCTCTCTCTCTCTCTCTCTCACACACACACACACACACACACAGGAGCAGGACCAGCCTGATGGTTAATGGCTCATTTTCATCTCATTGCTTCAGTGCAGTGGAAACTGTCCCTTCACGCTGCCCTCTGTCAGCTTGCTGCATGCTCCCGTCCTCAGCTCTGCCAACAACACAGATGGCAACAGTGCCAACAATCATAGCCACTTCTCTGATGCCCTCTGGGGAGAGAGCTTTTCGGAGCATGACAGCAGTGACACTATTAAGGCTGAAGGGGCGCCTTGAGCTTGAGAACACACACTTTAAACACACTTTAAACCTACACATGAGGCCTGTAGAATGGAGCTGCTTTGAATGCGCCTTTGCAGTCAGCTTGTCTGACCCCCACTTTGTTACAAACCCAGATTTTGAGCCTGGTGTGGTATAGTGCACGCCTTTGATCCCTAATATAAAATAGGAGGCAAACAGGAAAAGAGATGAAGGAACCAACCCCAACAGAACAACAGGTTTATGAGGCAGAGAATAAACTGAGAGGGCAGCTCTCCTCACCACCACCAGCCATCCAGAAGAGGACCGCTCTCACAGACTCGGAGCTTTTATGTTTTCTTACAGGGAGTGCACTGTGGTTGGGATTGTGTCAAATGGAAGAAGGTAGCTGGAGGGGGATTGTGCCATACCTGTGGAGGCAGCCAGAGGTGGCACTATGGGAGGAGCATTGAGGACCTAATATTTCTCCGTCAATCCCAGTAGTCAGGAGGCAAATGCAGGTATATCTCTTTGAGTTTAAGGTAAGCCTTGTCTGCATAGTAGGTTCCAGGGCAGCCAGTGAGAGTCTGTCTCAACAACAAAAACAAACAAGCAGAACCAAGTTTCAGTGTTTAAAGTTGCCTAACCTGATCTTTCACCTCTGTCAGGGTGAGGCTTTCTCCTAGTCTTTTCTAGTTTTAAAAGGCTGTTTTCTAGATGCACTTTGTGTTGGTACACACCTATTAGGAGGCGAAACCCGGACTACATAGTGAAACCCTGTATCAAAATAAAAAATGAGGGGTTGGGGTGTACTTAGTAGCGTAACACTTGCATCCCCCACCCACACCCCCAAAAAGATCTGTCTCCTTTAGCATTCATGGTACAGTGACAGTTATGATGATTGCAACAATTTCTT